GTATGACATCATAACAGATAGAGCTCAAACTATGACCACGATTTAGATGTCCCTAAAAAAATACTTTTGAATCTATATCTCTCCAAATCGATAGTTTTCATCTATTTCCCCATAAATCTGGGTTTAATCGGTTTACGAACTAAACCCAATTAAAATCACTCAAACCGATTTCAAATCACTTGCATGTCAAACCTTTTTGATTTAGAGATTTTAATAACCAACACAAAAAAAAAACAAAAAAAAAAAAAACAAATGACAAAATTATATACCCTTCCTTCGTCTTCTTCATTCTTCCCTTCCCTTCTCATTTTTTTCTTTTTTTCTTTTCTTTTCTTTTTCTTAATTCAGATTGAAAACTATAATTTAACGAAGAACTTCATGATCCTCTCAGTTTTAAAGAACAGATATTTAAAAAGCATTTTCAACACATTAAGTGCTAAACATTGACCGGAAACTCGAATTCTAAATCTGAAACACATCTAAGTGCTTCGTATCCAGCTTGAGAAATCTAGCCTGCGAAACTCGAATCTGAAAGTTATGAGAAGAAGAAGAGATCTGGTTTTAGACTCCTTTTGCTACTCCGATTTTTGTGAAACGAAAGAGGTACTTAGATCTGAACGATTTTGATGATGAGGAGGTCGAATATGAATCAATAAGCCCTAAAAAAATGACAGATGTGATGCCATTGATTCGTTGCTTCTTGATAGCCACTGTTTTTTATTTCTCTATTAAAATACTAATTTTGACATTTTTATGATACAGATAAACATAGTTCTCTAAATCGATTTAAATTGGATTCATAATTGAATTTAGAATTTGGGTTCATAATTGAATTTGAAACACAAATCGTATTTTGTTGCTGGTGAAGCAAATCAGAGTCCAAAGATGAAGGAAGAAGGAAGAAGGAAGAAAAGAGGAACAAGAAAACCACGTGTTTTTATAAAAATAAATAATAATAATTTATTTATTTTTTTACCAAAAAAATAATTCATATTTAATTTTGAAATCTGGTTTTCTTTGGTTATAATTGGGTTTAGTTTCTTAAAAAATCGATTAAATAAATAGTAAACCGATAAAACCAAGTCTTGTGGGTTTATAGATCTAGAACTATTACTTAGAGGAGATTTAGATATTGAATTTTTGTTTCAGGGAGAAATAGATATAGAACTGCTTTTTCGGGGATAAGTAGCTCACGGTTATAGTTTGGGCTCTATCTGTTATGATGTGATACTTCTCGTGGGGAAATAGACCGTTTTCCCCAATTTAGGGCGATAATATAAGTAATATAGCACAGCCTATTTATTTTATGTAAAACCATAAAAATGAAAAAATCTTACGTACTGTATTAAAGTATGAAGAAATACTCTCAGCTAGTCATGTATAGCTTTTGTTTCGAAATACATAATCGTTTCGTAATTGAAGAAAAAATCCTTTATTATTTATATACTCCGTATTTAGGAAAATTTAATGATACCGACAGCTTTTGACGGATTCAATACTTTCATGTTAAGTTTTTGTTTTCGAATCTTTTATATTTATGATTAGTTTTTTTTTGTGAGGGATTACGTAAGCAATTACGTTCACAGCTATGGAAGAAACGGGTCTCTCTAACCGGAATTTTCAAAACAGGCAATCTTCGCTAGGCCCAATAGTAGTGAATATTGAATAGTTTTAACATCTTTAACTTTAGAAATCCCTGGGAAAGGCTCAAAGCATCAAACTAAACTAGGATACGCAATTTGATTGGGCTGATTTAAATCGACACATATTGGGCTGTGAAACCCAATTAAACCAAAACCTATTGGGCCCCTGCTTTAGTTAGATAACATTTTTGTGTTTTTTGTTTTTGTTTTCCAAGTTATATAAAGTTTTGATTAAATTTGGTGAACAATTGAGTTTTTTACTTGTTTTTATATTACCAAAACATATAGTTCACTTGATTCGATATTATTGATTCATTTGATGAAAATAAATGTTAAATTATAATATTTTAATGTTAGATATAATGTCAAATTCTTAACTTGTATGATCGCTTTTTCAAGATTTTATTTGAATTGATATACAGTTGCATTCGAATTTTGTGGTAGAATCCATTTTGAATTTGATAAATGCATTGTTTCTGAAGTATATATGTTCGAGTAAGTTCTACAAATTTGCATTTTGTTGAATTAAGAAATCAAATTAATATTGTTGTAATCTTTCAAACTAATATTTTGGTCTGTGACATTCTCAAAGCAAGATAGATTTGTGCTCATTAAGAGCTTATTGAAAGAGAAATCTAAAACTGAAAATGCAATAGCTCATTGGAGCTTTATTAAACATAAATGTAAAGAGAAGAAGAAGAACTTAGGTTGTCACCAAGAACACTTAAAACTTTAGATTTGATTTCATAAAATGGGAAAGAGGAGAGTTGCTCAATGTGGCAACTCTCTAGGTTAATCACATTGTTCTTCATTACATGACTATTTATATAAGAGACTACTTGCTTAGATAACCTAATTACATGGGCTTGTGGATTTCTCATGAGATTCTTTTTGGGCTTCTTATGGACTCTCTAATACTGTCCACATTATTTAGATGACATTATAGTTTTGATTTCACTAAAATCAGATCGATCCTAGGTTCGAGCTGAATTTGTTTTTTGTCTTTTGTTTTTTTTTTAAAGAAAAGTTTTACTGTATGTCACGTCACTTCTTCTATTTAATTAGTACTGTAGTAGAATTAGCTCTAAAATTTGAACTGATTTGGAAAATAAACAGAGAATATACGAGGAGAATGAAGCTCAATTTATATAACTAATTATGAAGAAGACAAATAATAAAACAAAATCATTTTACATCACAAGAAAACAACCAATGAAAAAATTTACAAAGATTTACGAAAAGTCAAAACTAAACTAACACCTTAGGGGTCTCAGTCTCCTTTTCATCATAATTGGGTTTGTGTTTCCTCGTAGCCCTTATATAGCAAAACACCACCACAAGAAACGTAGTCGCTAAGCCTCCAAGAATAACTCCACCGCCTGCGACCGATCTTTCCACCGTGGAATGGTGGTGGCCTCGCCGTACAGTCTCTTCCAAATGTGAAAACTCCGGTGCTTCTGCCTCCGCTTCTGGCCAATCGTGCCTGCCGAATTTCCTTGTTGTTGGAGGCTCAGCTTCCGATGAGACTGCCGCCATGGTCAAGGAGTACGTTAGCAAGAAGCATAGAACTATAAGTTTTGTATCCATATTAGGGTGATTAAACTCTCTGTTTTCTTTACTTTCTTGGTTTGCTTGGAGATGATTGTGTTAATGGAGTTATTTATAGGTCAATAGTGTTTCT